TGTGTGTATATACATATGTATATATATATATATACATACATACATATATATGTATATATATATACACATGCATATATATATATTTATACATCTATAAATACATACATGCATAAATATATATATATATATATTTATACATCTATAAATACATACATGCATAAATATATATATATATATGTCTCTCTCGTTCACCCCCCAGAATGGTGGTAGTCCTTTTGGTTCCCTTTAAAACCATCAAACAAGGGTGCCCTAGAAGAAGACGAGCCATCCATATGGGGTCTTTCTCAAAATAATTAGCGGTCTGAAATGGCTAGTTTCCCTTTTGTCCCTTGAATTAAATTAAATTAGATACCAAAAGGGTCTGAGTTACACGCATATGACTATACTCAACTTCCCTCTTGGCAATTGGCTTTGAGGTAAGGGGTGGGTTCCCTTGCTACGTGGACAACATCCACTTCGCAGCAGTTGGGGTTGCGTATTCCAGTATTCAAATCGGGTGCGAAGAGGACTTTGCCCCATCCACAGTGTGACTCTACGGGGCGTGCCCGAAGAGATGGCACATGACAATACCATGAAGAGCTAGTTCAAAAACAACGCAGCGCTATAATCTAAGCCTCTGTAGGAGGGGATTCCCTAAACAATACAGCTAACATGCGGAGAAAGTACTGGCAACACGCCACTCCGAAAAGAGAAGCACCTGGAAAGTTGCAAAAGACGTGGAGGTTCAACCGACCGTTCAGCCTGGGCTCTTGCCCTCCGATTTCCTTCGTGGCTCGCTCTTGCCGGCGTTGGGCCCGTTGGGCTGGGAGAACTGGGCGGCTTTCCAGTGCAGCTGCTCCAACAACGTCCGCGGGTGCGACACCTGCAGGGCTGCGAATCGGCAGGTAGAAATTGGGGTCGCGAGATTTGGGTGCGCAAGGGAAACCAAAGGAAACCCGGTTTTAATGTTCAAGCTTCTATTTTTGTAAGTTTGACCATCTTTTTCTTGGCTCAACTCAGGGGTACACCAAAAATAATACTTTCAGCTTCTCCATATTTAGCCTGCCATATAAAACATGCTTTCGGAGGAGAGCCTGGAGCCGGCCTTTGTATGCACCTCTGGGCTGTGCGCTTTGGCCGAGTCTGGCTCTAGAAAGATGGGCTCAGTCCGCGCGTCGCGGCGCCGGCGAGCATCGTCACTACGCCTGCGCCGATGCTTTCGGCGTGCGCGCTGGTGCGCAAGCGAAGCAAACAGCTGCCCCAAGCTGAAATCAATTCGAGATACTGTGCTACTCTGCGTCAAGCACCATTTTCCCGTCGCCGCTTCGCGCCTGGGCGTGATGAATTGTCTCGAAGGGCCTGGCCCGGCCATGCAGCTGACGGATTCAAAGCGAGGGCTTCCAATGGCCCCAAGGAAAGCTTCGCAGGATCTTAGGGCCTAGGGATCTTAGAAGGGTTAGGAGGTCCTAATGATTCTCCTGACTCATGCCAAATGGAAACGTGGATGGCCACCGAACAAACGCACTTGATTTATGCCGGCATATCTCGCTGTATGAAATGTTCCGCAAAGTGTTTCGACACGAGTTCTGTTTCTCCGCATGCTGTACGCCATCTGCAAGCAAACGCTCGGCTGTTGACCGAAGGCTGCTAATTCCAAGTAGGCTCCGTTGTGTGTGTGTGTGTGGGTGTGACTGTGCATATGTGGTGCGTTGAGGGGCCCCTTTCAGTTCTCCAAAGGAAACCAAAAGCAAACGAATGTATCTTGACACAGATCGATCAGAGCTCATCATCCTGCTCGGCCGGCTCATCACAGGCCTCAGCGCGCAGCTGTTCTTGGGACCCGGTGCGCCCACGCAGCACAAAGGGTAAGCGGGGTCCAAAGTGAAACCAAGGGAAACCGAAGGAAAACCAAAGGGAAACCAAGTGAAACTAAGTGAAAACGCAGGAAACCAAAGGAAAACACTGGAACCAAATGAAACAAAAGTTAAACATGTCTTGCCTTCAGGGTTGATTGTGGTTTATTGTTTTTTTTGTTTTTTTTTAAGTAATCCCGCGGCCAGCAGTCGAACACCAGAAGTAAAGGTCTTGCAACCACAAGCGTGTTTTTGTGTTTGCAACAGAAGACTCAAGCGCAATTGCTGTATTTATATCAAGAAGCTGAAAAGTCTTTGTTGGAGTAATCCAGACTTGACCGGACGCGGGACGCGGCCCCTGCAACACGTTGACTTTTTGCGGGCTCAAAGGGAAAATGAAGGAAACCCAACAAGGCAAAAGGGCAGAAAGGTTCATGGGCCAGAAATGCAGAACTTCGGGTTAAGCGCAGAGCCCAGAGAATGATGTTGGAGCCGTCACCTGAAGCTATGGAACGGGGATGGTCTAAGGGGTTGGGACTTATTGTTTGCGACCCAGAAAGAATTAAAGGGCACTTTAACAAGGACCTGAAAAGGGGAAATTACTTTTGAGTCAGAAAACCCCAGCCCGCAGTTTAAGGGAGTTGTCAGTGGGGTTGGTCCCAAAGTCCTTGCCTAAACACAGCTGTGGGGATGTCCACGGTTGAGTTCATGGGGATCCAGATTTAGGATACGGTCCGTAGAGGCTTCACATTTGCCCTACCTATCCCTTTTGATTGGAATCCTGATGGCCGTTGCACAGAGTTCCAAAGGGTGGATGACCGTACGGGTTGAACCAAAATGGTCGCTGTAACCAACCACAGCACATCCAAAGGCAGCTGCCTTCTATCAATGACATCGACGACGGGGCCGGCCTATTCTGCCTTCCCTGATGGACATGCAGTAGTTCGGATTCGCCTGCACGATTTGGACAAGGTGAGATCAAAAGGAAGGATCCATGATTCTGCCCCCAGAGAGCACACTGGCAGTCACATTCCATGTGTTTTTTCACGCCTCAGCATAGTTCACCATCGGCACGTCTTGTGCTGGACAGGCATCCTATGTATCTTTTGGGGGTGGCTCAGGCCAATGCTGATTGCGTTTCTCTCTGGGGGCTGGGGTGATGTTAGGGCACCTTTCCAACACGGAAGTTGACAGGGGGGTTCCCCAAAAGGAAAGTAGACTTCAGAACATTTCCTGTCGACGTCCATGATTGTTCGAAAGAGGTATGGAACCCTGTGGGAGGTATCTGCCGTTCATGCGGGCGCCAACGAGATCTCGGAGTCATTGCCTCAGCTTCTCAGGCCTCATTACAACTCCCAAGCTCGCCGAAACTAGGTCCGATGAATGAATGTGTGGTTTTGAAGGGAACACCAACATCGTATTTTCTTCAGGTGTCCCTTTAAAAACCAGCCCAACGGGGTACCCCCCCCCTCAAGAACAAAAACAATGATGTTTCAAAGGGAAATGTTGCCTCACATCGGCATGCCCAGTCCCACTTCCCATCCAGCGACTGCCAAGCGACTATCAGCTTCCGGGCTCCTGGGAAGCCAAAGAGCGACTAGCATGTCATGGAAGTGAACATTCCGTTGGACGCATCCTTGGAAGACTCCTCTCCTCGCCCCTGAAACCCGCCGAAAACCGCTATCCACTTACGTGGGAAACACGGATGTGGGCTGAACTCAGGCAAGGCGCCTGTCTGCACGCAGCTCCGATTCTTTGGCCACCACGGGCAGGAGGCTGCCTGAGGAAAACCCATATGTCCTTTTGGGGGAACCACTCTTGATTGCATGGTTTTACAGGGAACCAAGAGGAAACCCATTTTGGACATCGCAGGGGGACTCCCCGAGTGACGAGACAACACTAATTACATTTCTGAAAAAAATAGATAGTCGCACGTGTCCCTCTCAGATTTACTGGCCGGAAATGTTCAGCGTCATTTGAGGCTTCACTTGAGGCATCAGCCCACAGTCCTGGCCTTGGAGGGTCAAGGGAATTCTGGGAGGCTCCCCCAGTTCCACCCCCCCCCCCAATTCCTTCTTCAACAGGTGAGAGAAATGCTCATCTGAAAGACTAGAATATCCCGAAGCAATGGTTGTGTGAGGGCTTGGTGGTTGGCAGCGACAGGAATGAGCAGCCAATGTCGGTGTGTCTCAAAATAGGGGAACCCAAGAAAGAGTGGTTTCCCTCTTTAAACCAACCCCAAAACGGATATTGGCCGAGCCTTATCAAAACCTCTGTGGCCCATGTAGATGATGCCCCCAGAGGTCCCCATATACTTCTTTTGCCCAGCCAAAATTGAACCATGTCTTGGTCCTTCTGTTTGCGGGTGTATTTTTTGAGACTCCCTTCACATTGGTTCAAAGGGAAACGAAAAGGAAAGCCACAATTTGTGTTGCCCCCCATTTTGACACGTCACATATCCGATTGCTCAAGCCCACCCTCGCTTGCCAGGCTGCACATAACAGGCAGGGCACAGGCCTGCAAGCAAGCAGTGATGACAAAGGTCGGCCCGTAGCCAAAGGAATCAATCAGCTTTCCGCCTGCCAGGTCAGCTTCGGCCACAGTTGGGCCAACTTGGACCAATAGCCAGGCATTAGGTAGAGGGTCTGGAAAGATGAGAAACGCCCATCCCCTTTTGATTTTCTCTTTTGGGAGGTCAACGGTATGGGCTTTTTGGCACCCAGTTAAACATTTTCGATCTATTGAACGGTCTCCACTCAAGACGACTTGCAGGCGGACGTTTGTTACGTAAACTGCCAAGATGGTCTGGCAATTTGTTGGACCAAGCCGGGGAAGACAATTAATTACACCTGAAGTTGTATCTCGGATCCTGCTTCATGTCATAGTTAGTCAACTTCAAAATGGAAATCAGTTTGGCGACCCCAGAATGGCGCCCTCCGCGCCTATTGCCGCGCTTCCGGACCAGCCTAAATCTGATTGGCTGGAATAGCAAAAGACGAGCCCTGTTTCGAGGCCCATGCACTTGGGGGGAGGGGCCTCAGACACCTTTGCCTTGATTTGTGTAGGGAGTTTCTTGAGCCCATGTCCCCATGCCCCGAACCCCAAAATGGAGCGAATCCCTTGGAGGAGCCTTGGAGTCTTGGAGGAACCCTGGAGCCGATCCATGTCTCAAGCCAGCTCCCCATCCGAGAGGCTCATGGCCGTGACAGAGCCCAGCGCTTTCCAGCGACCCCGGGACGCCTTGGGCGTGTAGTCCGCCTCGTCTCAGCTTGGCAAGGGCGCAGTTCCAAGGCCAAAATGACATGACACTGGGCTTGTCTTTTGTAAAGGGTACCGTAAGGGGCTAAATAGGTACTAACATGATTCTCTCATAATCATGACCAAATTTGGCTTCAGACTTCCCACCCCACTTGATAAATGTCCTTGTATGTTCTTGTTTGTCTTGTTTCAAGTGCACTGGCAGCCACCCATTTCCCACGCTTCAACCAAGGCACTATGATGGACCCCATCAGAGCGCCGCAGCTCCACTGCATCGTGCACCGCATCATAAAGATGGGCAGCATGACCTGGGTGTGCCTTTTTTATGGTACCCATTTTGGTGGTGTTAAAGGCAAACCAAAACGCGAGCTGCCACCTTTTTGCGAGTGGGACGAAGTGAGCGTGCGCTTGTTTCACATTTTGAGCCCTCACCTTCAAGATCTTCCCAACATCCCCCGCAGCCCCTCTGAAGCAAGCCTGAATCCAGACGCTTACGTGGACAACCTGAAACCAGGTCAACTTCCTGGTCAAATCCCCCTTAGAAACCAGCCAAATCGGTCAAAATTCCCCCGGAGAAGCCGGCCAAATCCCCCCTAAACCCGGTCAAGTTCCAGTCAAATTCACCGAAATCTGTCAAATTGCCCCAGCCAGATTGCCCCTCTGGCCTCAGCCTGGAAACCAGCTCATGCATTTCGGTGCCGACTCACTCACTCAAACAAGCACAACACTTCAATGCTCAAAGCCGGCCAAAAGCATACTGGGTTTTTAAATGCTAGATGATTTGCAAAGAAAGGGGCCTGTGCTACTTCTTGGTAGGCATCACCTTGATTCCGTTGGTCCCAACGTGGTTGGTGCCCATCTGTATGGGTTTGCATTAGCTCAAACCGATGTTGGGAGTAGTGTTCTGGGTTTGCACTAATTTTCACGCATGGGTTCATCAGTTGAAAGCAGCCCTACCAGGTGATTGGGTGGTTACCTTACTTTCCCTTCTGACCAGCAAAAGGCAACCTCGCCGTTGAGCTGGGCTTTCCTTTTTCCCCTTGCGCTGTTGAAAAGAACTTTCTTTGAGAAAGCCCAACTCATCGGCTCACCTTGACGAACACAATGACCGAGTCTCATGGCATGTTCCCAGGGAGCAACGGCATAAGCCTGGCCAAAGGATAAGGCGGATCCCCGCGAACAACAAATGGTGTTCCTTGTCTGCTTGGTACCCATCTTGGGCTTGCTTTAAAGGGATACCTCAAGCAAACCAGCCAAATTTGGGCTCTGTTTTGAGACAAACCCTAATGATCTACAGATATGAGGGATCCTGATTGCAGGCTCCTGTTGTGTTTGGGGATTGCAAGCTTTACAGTTGCCATTGAATTTGCCATAGTTCATGCCAATGCCCAAAATACGGGATCCCCGAAGAACTTGAGTGAACTTCAGGGTGAGCTCGTTTCACCTCCGAAGTAAAACCGCATAGAATTGAAATGCATCCTGGCAGCTCCTGGTATTGTGTAGTAGCTCTTCAGCAGGCCCAGAAGGCTTGTGCAGGAGATACCGACCACGTAGCAGCAAATGATCACCTTTGCAACAGGTTCAAACCTTTCGACCCGCCTAGGTTCAATAGGAATCCTGCACTCCTGCCATTTGGGTGTGAAGTTTAAGAGGTTGGAGCCTTTGGTGGGCATCAGAATTCGGTGGATTTACGTCCGCCAGCCAGTTGCAAAGTGGTTTCGGCTCTTAACATTCATAGCCATCTGGGAGGGTATGTCAGCTTTCTGGTAGTGATTCCCCGGTACTCCGAAACGCAAATGGAAGGTCTTCCCTCAAACTGAGTTAGTCGTTCCCATTCGCCTGCAGCCTGCCACAGCACTTGGCGAGGCGGTTGTTCACGAAGGTGTTCACTCCCGTGAGCAATTGCAGAGAGGCGAACACGCCTAATGAGCGTGGCTCGTGTCTTTTTGAGGCGAAGGGAACCCTTTTGGGGGCTCGTTTCAAAGGGAACCCAAAAGGAAGCCAGGCCCCATTTTGGGAGTCCCTCAATGCGATTCGCACCTCAATCCTAAAAAAATCTTAGGTGGCGGGGTATGTTTCTTTGCAAGGGTTTGTCGGTAAATGGCGGGGGAAGCATCAAAATAGGCGGTGTTACATTTGGCTTCCAATTGCTTTTATCACTTCCTAGGTACATTGGTTAAACAAAGAGTTAGGATTGCTTTGTTCACCACTAGAATCGTCTTCCCAAAAAAGAGGCGGTCCATGAATTCTGGTGGCCAAACCATTTTGCAAGAAGGGCCACCCTGCCTTGCCTTGCAGCACAACAGGCCGGATATGGCCCTCCTCCTTCGGGGTTGCTCCGTTTCGACCCTGGTCGGAAAAGAATGGTTGGTGAAAGGAACCCAAGCTCCTTCGTGGGCCGGCACAGGGCAGTTGGTCACCTTTTTGAGCTTAAGAACCCCAAAGTGTGTGCTTTCCTTTCGGCTTCCCTTGAAAATCCAAACGGGGGGGGTCCGAACCTCACAAAGGGGAACCACACCCATCACCCGGTCTCGGAACGGAAGCCGAAAAGCAGAGCGTTCGCTCCTTGAAGAACACGGGGAAGAACTTCACTGTCATGCCCGCGCCAGTGGTAAGGATCATCTCAATGCAGAACATGACCAAGCGCACCCGCGGGACTGTGATCAAGCCGAAACAACTGGTCTTCTTGCGCCGCTCGCCTTCCTGGTCGAACATCAGCTAACACCATGTGTTTAAACTGTTGCCCTGGCGTATTGAAGCAACCTCCTTTTAACTTCCCTTTTAAGGTGACCTTGAAACACAATCAGAATATGCGTTGGTTTTTGTGGTCCTTTCCGAGGTCCCAAACTCCAAATGAACCATAGACTTCGCTGTTGACCAAACCTATGCTTGTTTCGCGCAATTTGTCTTGTCGAGGCAAATTAAGGCCAAATATGGTGGTCTTTGCGGGAGGCCTTGGTAGGGGTCCCTTCTCATGCCTGTGGAAACAAAGCTTCCAATACCATCCTGGTGTCATCAAAGCAATTTCCAAGCACGTTTGCCTTACCCCAATTTCCCGTGGAGTGCCCGTCTTGGTTCAAAACCTCCCATGCCCAGAACCTCACTTGGCCAGTGACCAGCCCAAAAAAAGTGTACACTTTTTCGGCCACCACTATAATAAAGGGAGAGCCACCAAGGGAAAAAAGGTGTCAAGTGCGTCCACTGGCTGGGTGAGGAACTTGCTTTTTCCACCCCCTGCCCTTTGAACCCAACTTCCCGCCTGAGGGCTTCCCCCGGTCAAGGGCTGCTGCAGATGCACGGCCTCGCTGACCTCGCCCAGGGAGTACCTGTCGTCCATGTAGCAGGCGGGGATCATCGCGGACAGCGTGATGGCGATGCCCAGCGCGATCACCTCATGGACATTTGGCTGACCCTTGGGTGGACATTTACGTTGAGGGCTTCTGTCCAACCCATTGAGGCCACATTCGCGCTCGGTGTTGATGCGGATTCCCTTCAAGAAACAAGCAGACTGAGCGCTTGTTTGTCAGCTGCTCTGTGTTTGTCTCCACATGGGGGAACCCCTGAAGCAGGTGGTTTCCTTGTGGTCCTTTAGAACCAGCCAGGAGGCTCCCTGCTCTGAGACTGCGCGTTGCACTTGCAATGCTAAGGTGGAGATCAAGTCCAACTCAAGGACTTGTTTTTTGCTTTGTGTTGCGAGCATGCTATTTAAGAACCAAAAATATCCACCAAAGGGCGCTCAATTGGATTGCAGATGTGTGATCCCTGCTGATCGTTAGTTCTCTGCCGAGTGGAAGTGAACCAGTCATGAGCATTCCAATTTTCATCACACAAGGGAACTGACTGACCTTTCCTGCCGTGCGCCCTATGCCCAGATGAGAAACTGACAAACTTGCCTGTACAGTTTAGGGGGGAACGAAAAGGCGGTCAAGCCCATCCAACGTTCACATGTCTTGGGGAAACCTTGCCACTATTACTCTGGCCCAGTAAGAATCACGCCGGTCATGTCCACTGCAACCCCCCGGCCGAGCCCGCGGCCCGCTGCATGGAGGCCAGGGTCCAGCTGTCCCCCGAAAAAACGAAGACGATGAGCCCCAGCAGTGGGCCCACGGAGGCGGACAGGGCATAGACCTAGGTTCCCGCCAAAGCCTTCTTAGTAACCTTGGTATGTAACATATATATTTATACAATATATATATATATAGAAACGTTAAAATTGGTTGTTACTTTGCTTACAAGTGCAAGTGCTGTAGTGTTCAAACAAACAGTCAACCAATGTAGTCTGCAGCTGCCAACCTTTTGACTCATGCGGAGTAGTAAGCTCAAGGCCTGCGGTAGTGAACATACATGCAACGAGGGTGCAAAGTGAAGCATGTAGTTTGACACGGCCCCTCAGTTAAAAGGTCTTTGTAGTACCTTTTCAACTGAAGTGCAAAACATGGATTGACAGTAGTGATGAAAACCATTGTTGTTCATCAATTCTACTGTATTGGCAAAAGTAGTGACCTGCGCTCAGTAGTTCACGCTGTTCAGGTTCCAGCTCGATGTAGGGCGCTGGACGGAAGTAGTGAAGGCAGGCACTCGTTGTAGTAGAGCAGGAGCTCAAAAGTGTAGTACCCAGTTCTGGGTGCGATAGTCTTGGACCTTCTGTAGTCGACTGTCCAAGGTCGCGTAGTAGTTGGTGGTGAAAAAGTTTGTCATGTAGTTTGGAGCTCCCCGTAGTCGCTCATCGTCGATCTCGGGACACGACATGTGTTGTGCGTAGTCCCGTAGAAAGCGGTGTAGTAGTGCCTTGTGGTGTTGTGTGAGGTTGGTCATTGTGAGTAGTGTGAATCCGTAGTATTGGATGCTTTTGCAGAGGATTGTAGTGATTGCTTTGTGTTGGTAGTCGTGGAGTTGGTCTCTGTTGTAGAGGTAGTGGAGTAGTTCAGGTAGTAGTAGTGGCATGTGGAAATTCCAAACGTAGTTGTTCCTGAGGCTGTAGTTGTCAGTGAAGGTGGCCATGTTGTAGTTCACCTTGAAGATGGTCTGTGGCAGTGTTGTAGTCGGGAGGTAGTAGTTGTGTTGTACCGACATCATGTAGGAGATGTAGTCCCTTGTGAAGTGTAGAAATTGTCCTGAAGTGAGGTACCTCAGGAGTAGTGGTTGTTCAATCTGGAGTTGGATGATGACGTAGTTGTTGTTGTCGCCAGTTGTTGTGTGGAGTGAAGTCGTGTGGTAGTAGTGGACGTTGGCTGCTTCAGGTAGTGAAATGCTGAGCAGTGTGGAATTGTAGTGTGGCATCCGAAGATCTCCAGGGATGCAGTGAATGGGTCGTGTGTAGTCCAGTTGTGCCAGTGGAGTAGCTTGTTGTTGTGAGAGTAGTTGATACTCTTCAAGTGTAAATGCAGTGAAAAATTGCGTGTAGGGAATGTTGTTGGCCGGTGGTGGTGCAGCGGCTGTCTGGTGCTCAGTGATGTGTAGTTGGTCCATCACTGTAGTCGGGTTGTAGTAGACGGTGTTGCCAGGTGTAGAATGGTTGAAGTGGTAGTTGAAGTCGTTGTAGGTTTGAGGTGGTGGAGTTTCTGTAGTGACCGCCACCTCTGGTGTAGACGCCCTGTCGGGTGTAGGCGCATCGCCCATCGTAGCATCTGCAGTAGATGGAGCGGCCATGGCTGCAGTGGAATGCAAAATGTAGTGAAACGGGGCAAAACAAATGAGCCTAAGTAGTTGCTACCAGGCAGTCGGCGAATGCAGACATGTAAAACAAACAACTGTAGTGTTGACTCAAGCCGCCAAAAGTGCAAGTGAAAGTACATGTAGTTACTGTTACTTACATACCAAAAGTGTCGTGTTACATGTAGCTACTTACATACATGAAATGTCCAAAGTCGTTGTTGTTGTTGTGAAACTGCTGTGCTGGTCGTTCGTAGTGCTAGATGCGTATTCCAATGCTCTGGATGAGCCTGTGTAGTGTTTCTTTGCTGATGTATTTGGTAAACAAATCTGCGCTGTTGTGGAGTGTGTTGATCTTAAGGATTCTGATGATGTCGTGCTTGATGAGGTCTTGTGTGTAGAGGAATTTGAGGTCGATGTGTTTTGCTCGTTTGCTAGTGCCTTGTCGTGTAGCAATGCTCTTGCCTGCTGTGGAGTCTGTGTGGATGCGTAGGTTTAGCTTGCTGCAAATGTTGGTTTCAAGTAGGAAGTTTCTGAGGTGTAGTCCCTCATTAACTCCTGTGCAAATGGCGTAGAGTTCAGACTCTGCTGAGCTAAGTGCTATTGTAGCTTGTGTTCTGCTGCCAAATGCAACTGTTGTTCCTAGAAAGATGATGTTGAAACCTGAAGTTGATTTCCTGGTAGTAGGGCATCCTGCCCAGTCGGCATCGACATGAACGTCGAGATCCAGGATGTTGTTGGTGTTTGCTCTGAGTGTTGTTGTTGGTTCTATGGTGAATTTGTAGTGCTTGGTGCCGTGCAAGTAGCGTAGTAGATGTTTGACTCTCTTTTGTGAAAGTTCTGTAGGTGCTGTGAGGTCTCGTGCTAGTTCTTTTGTGGAGTATGCAATGTCTGGTCGTGTGTATGCTAACCATTGAAGTTTGCCAACAATTCTTCTGTACCTTTTGTGTTGTTCGTGGTCAAGTAGTGCTTCATCTTCTATTGTTGGTTTGTAGTGTGCAATTCCTGGAGTGTTCACTGAGTTGCAGTTGTTCATTCCAGACTCCTCGATCATGTTGTCGATGTAGGAGTCCTTTAGTCCAAGATTGCAGTAGTTGCCGAAGTGGTCGATGTTTCTTCCAAGAAATTGTTGTGGTTTGCCAGGTTCGAGGTAGCCGATGTGCTTGAGTAGTACCTGCTTCTGGACGGCCTCGAAAGTGGAGTCGACTGCGGTCTTGTCTCCAAGTACTAGTAGATCGTCCACGTAGACCATGATGTAGCAGTCGCGAGTCGCATTGGTGTAGACGTTGGGTTCTGACTTTAGTCTTACAAAGCTGAGCTTTTGTAGAACTTCAGCCAGGTAGTCCTGCCATGCTTTCGGTGAACTGCGTAGTCCATACATGGCTTTCTTTAGTCGCCAGATTTTGTCCTGTTGTGGACAAAGTTCTTTAGGTGGCCAAAGGTAGACGTCACGTTGTTTACCGTCGTGGTCTTTTGCGATGGGTGCGTGTAGAAATGCTGTAGAGACGTCACCTAGTCGCGCGATCCAGTTTGGTCGTGACATTTGTAGTGCGAGAAGTGTCCGGAGTGTCGTGAACATTGGTGTAGAGGCGTAGACGGAGTCTTCGTCCTCGATCTTCTCGGTGTAGCCTTTTGCGACGATTCGGCTTCGTACTCCTGGTCCTTTCTTTCTATGTACCCATCTTGTAGGTATCGCTTCTCTGATGACGTTGTCGTTGACGGTAGACGCATCTACTTCGTCGTAGACGTCGTGTAGTTTCATTTGGTTTGACTCGTGTTTCATTCCTTCCAGTAGTTGTGTTTCGTCGTAACCTTCGTTGTCGAAGATTATGGGTTGGTCTTCTGAGGTGTCGTCGTTTGTGTAGGGAGTGATGGATTTTCCGTTGGGAAGTGTCACTGCGTTGATTTTCTGTCGTAGTGGTGGTGGTTCTTTGGTTGCTTGTTCCGTTGATCTGATTGTAGTGTCCTTTGAGGCCTTCTGTGCTTTAGTTGGTCGCATTACTTCTTCCGGAGTTAAACGTCGTAGTGTTTGTCGAGGTGGTGCTGGTAGTGGTGGATGTTGTCGTCCAGTTGGTGAAGTAGCCATAGGACTATCCGGTAGTGGTCGTGAACTTGACGTCGAGGTGGTTTTGTGCGTTGTTGTTTTGTTGCGGGTTCTGCAACGATGTCGTCCGTCGCATTCGTTTGCTGTCCGAAGTCTTGCGTGGACCTTCTTTTCTCTGACGGTTGTAGTTGCGTATCCAACAGTGTTGCGAACGATGGGTTGTAGGTGTTCCGTCGTGGTGCCCATGGTGTGCCGGAAACTTTGTTCAACAGTGCGAGGTCGTAGTTGAAGTCCGGTTGTAGTCTCCGTACTGTTCGTACCTTTTGTACGCCTGATTCCGTTGCGACGTAGTTTTCTCCGGTTTCGGAAACTTTTCCGAGCCAGATGCATTTCTGCATCCGTAGGTCTGCTTTCGGAAGTTTCTTGTGTTGTGGTGGAAGGTAGAGTAGTGTCTCGCCAAATTCGCAGATTGCTCGCTCGTAGTTTCTTCCCCAGCGGCGTTCAAAGCTTGTGTAGCCGTCTGAGTGGATGACGTAGCGATTTACCGTCCATGCTGCATGTCGTACTATCCAAGGTAGTAGACAGTGCTTTGTGGACATCGTCATGCTGTAGTTGCTTTCAACCTGAGCTTTGACGACGCGGATTTGTCCGAGAAGTGTTCTATGTAGTCGCTCAACGCTTCCTTGACTGTTGCTGCTGTAGGAAGGTGAATGTCGTACACTCATTGTGCCGACTTTTGCTGCTGTAGCTTTTAGAAGTGCGTTGAGTGTGTCTTCGTCGTCGCTTTGTAGTATGCCTTGTGTTCTTCCGCACTCAAAGATGAATGCGTGTAGGTTGTTGACCATGTAGTCCATCATTGATGCTTTGTCTGGAACCAATACTGCCATACACAGTTGTGTAGTAACATCAACTGCTGTCAGTACCGGTGTGGTCTTTGGGTCTTGTTGTGACTTGATGTAGGCAAAGTCTATTTGAATGACAGGTTGTCGTGATTGTTTTTTTTCTTGTAGTTGTCTTGGCGTCCTTTGCCTTGAACGCAAATTGGACACCAGTTTCTGTATGGTAGATGTGTAAGGTTGTGTTCTGCTATTTGTTGTGGAGTGGGCTGCTGTGGTTGTCGTAGTCCTCTTGCTCTGTGTGCTTCATGATGCTCGTGTTGTTGTTCTTCATCGTGGTTCTCCTGGATGTACTCGTAGTCTTTCTTCACGGTAAACCTCGTTGTTCCTTTCCATTGAAATGGTAGCGCTGCGTTGCCCATGACTGTCCAGTCATCTTTGCGTTGTGAAACTTCTCCAAAGTTGTTGTGAGTGATTGTAGTTCTGTAAGGTTCAAGTGTGTTGATCGGTGGATGTCCTGGTCCATCTGTTGGAGTGAAGAGAGTTGTTCTAAGCGTTGTGTGGTGTCGTATCCAGTGTTCACCTTGTCTTTCCCAGTAGTCTTGGTGGTCCTCCTGTGCTGTGAGTGGTCTGTGTATTGTCTCCCTTGGTTGTGTGGTGTCAAGATTTGTAGAAGGTGCTGCTTTGGGTCTCCATATCTTTTGTGGTGCTCGTAGTTGGATCTTTGATCTGGTTGGTGGTGTATCCATTAGCCGTTGTGGTTGTGAGCTCTGCCTTGTTGGTGTGGTCTTTGATGTTGCTCTGCGTGTAGGTGTTATCTTTCTTCTGAATCTGGTTTCTCCAGTCCAGTTGTCACCTTCTAGTCTTCGTTGTAGTTCTTGCTTGGAAAGTTGTGTTGGGTTCTCTTGTAGTTGTTCTTGCTCTTGCCCTTGTCTGTTGATGATGGTTAGTCTCCAATCATCTAGTTCTCCTTCTGGTATTGGGCAGCCACTGTTGTGTGGTGTGAACAGTGCTTTGCGTGGTCGCTTGTGTACTCTGATGGCGTAGTCACCATCAAGTTTCCAGTAGTCAGTGTTTCCACCAAGGATCTGTCGTAGTCCTTGGTCTGTGTGTGTGAGTGGTGCGATTTGTTCTTGTTGTTGTGCTGCTCTCTCTGTAGGTTGAAACACAGCAATGGATTTTCCAGTCTGTAGTCATTGGGTAGATGTCGAATCCTGTAGGAATGTCGATCTTCTCTGCTCGTACATAGAAAAGTCCTGAGTGTCTTATGAGGTATGCTTGTTGTTGTCCATGTGTGATGGTGCAGTGTCGTGGAGTGAAGTCAAGTCCATATCCTCTATCAAGTAATCTTGATGCACTGAGGATTGGATACTTCACATCACAAACGTAGTAGGGTATCATGATCCTGAAGTTGTCCTGCTTGTAGGGAACGTACTTGATGCCGTAGACTGGAATCTTCTTGTCGGTCACCGTGTAGAGTTGTGGAACTGGTTCTCCACAGGGTCGTAGTGGAAGATCCGGCGCGTAGTCCTTTGGGCAAACATGTGTAGATGCTCCTGAGTCGATCAACAGGTGGTGGTAGGACTTGAAGTTGGAGTACATGATGTAGTGGGTGATAGTGTCCTCAATCTTCTTGTTCCTTTGTTGTTGTCTTGCTGCTGCTATGTCGAAGTGTAGCTTTGTGGTGTCTTCTTGTAGGAATTGTTGAAAGCTCTTGCTGTGGTCGTTCCATGATGTTGTGTGTGTTGTTCTCTTGCCAAGTAGTGATTTGGATTTGTGCTTGTGTAGTCGTGATTTTGCTTGTCTGATGTGTCCAATGGTGAGGTGTGACTCGTTGATGCCTCCAATGTAGTTCGCTGTGTCCTCATAGCTGTTGTCATTCCAATCCCAGCTGTTGTCATAGTCGTAGTCGTTCCAGTTCTCCTCCATGTAGTTCACCTCATGTTGTCCTTCTTCTCCTTCGTAGTACCAGTCCCAAGTGTCGTTCACATCCTGAGGTAGTTCATCATTGTTGTCGTGATCTGCTTGTTCTTGTTCTAGTGGATGTAGTTCTTCTCCTTCTCCTATGTGCCATACCGGCACTCTGCAGTCTTGTGCCCAGTGGCCGGGCTTGCCACATCGATGGCAGGTTGTGTAGTTGTTGCTTCCTTTTCCTTTTGATTTGCTGTAGTTTCCTTGGCCTTTGTAGCCTTTGCTTGATCCATATCCTTTGGATCCTGAGTAGCCTTTTCCTTTGCTCTTGTTGTATCCTCCTTTGTTGTAGTTTCCTTTGCTGCCTTTGTCGAATCCTTTGTAGTGTCCTTTACTCCTGTACTTGCCTTTGCTCTTGCTTCCTTTGTAGCCGCCTTTTCCTTTTCCTTTGCCTTTGTAGCTTCTTCCTTTCCTCCATATGTTGTCAACATCCATTGGTGCAGTTCCTCCATTGTAGTTTGTTCCTACTGCTGAAGTAGATCTAGTGAAGGCTGAAATCGTTTTGTAGTAGTCCAGGATGAGTGCTCTGATCTCGATGTAGTTCGTGATCTGTCCAGCTCGCAGTTGGAGGTGTTGCTGCAGTGCTCCTTTGGTTTTGTTGAGTAGTATTGCTATTTTGATTCCATCTGGTAGTGCTGTTCCATTGTCTTTCTCGTAGCGGTTGATGTCGTATTCCCATTGTAGAAATTGTTCTTCAAACTGCGCTTCGTTGAATGTGGGTTCCAGTAGTTTGGTAAGGTAACCAACGCTCCTTGTTCCTACTGGTAGGCTGAACCTGTTGTGTAGTAGTCGTAGTGTTTCACATCCGTTTGCGTTGTAGCGGTTTTGCCTTACTACTGTAGCTGCTGCTCCCTGACAGATGTTGATGAGGATGTAGTGTAGATCTCTGGAGAGGTCTACTGCTTTGCTTGCTTGTGTAGGGTCGAGTATGTGTGTTCTGATGTCTGTGTCCTCAATCTGTCGTGTAGCCACTTGTGCTAGTTGTAGCACCAGGTCGAAGTCTCGGTCTATGAGGCCGAGGTATGCTTGTAGCTTGAACAGCCATTCTTCATACTGGGAGTAGTCACCAGTGAAGAAGGGTGGTGGCAGTTTGTATCTATGTAGTCTCTGAACGTCGTTGTCTTGTTCTGTTCCTGCTCCCGTAGTCGTGGCTCCTACTGTGTCTGCTGTTGGCCCGTTCTCTGCTCCTGTAGTTTGTTGTGCTGAGGCTGATGCTGCTTCTCCTGACATGTCGTAGTAGTTTGGCATGTAGCTGCTGTTGCTCTGTTGTTGTAGTACTTACTGCTTACTGGAGCTCCCCTATGTTTAGGATCTCAGCTCCGCTACCACGTTAAAATCGGTTGTTACTTTGCTTACAAGTGCAAGTGCTGTAGTGTTCAAACAAACAGTCAACCAATGTAGTCTGCAGCTGCCAACCTTTTGACTCATGCGGAGTAGTAAGCTCAAGGCCTGCGGTAGTGAACATACATGCAACAAGAGTGCAAAGTGAAGCATGTAGTTTGACAAGAAAGAGAGAGAGAGAGAGAGAGAGAGAGAGAGAGAGAGAGAGTTCCTTCAGAAGCAGAAAGTGCTACGCTGTACCTTAAAAAAACCTTCATTAAGAAAGAAAAAGTATTCTAGGCCTTCTGGCGCCCAGTCCTCCAAGACTTCCCGGGATTTGTTGGGAAAGTACAGCACGTGTTTGCTTCAGGAAGCTGGACTTCTCAGCAGTTGGGTTGCTAGGTGCTCACAACCGTGAGAGATCCTTCGGAAGCAGCAAGTGTTGTAGTGTCCCTAAGAAACAAATGGACCTCAACAGTGTGAATTTGTCTCATGTTCTTGCTTTCCAAACACTTTCTGCGCCCTGGACCTCAAAAGCACTGCACTGTCCCTATTGTTGTGCTCTTGCAGCCCAAAACTGCTGTACTGTCAAGCCATGCTTCTTGAAAGAACTTTGAAAGGACAAGTTTTGAAAAGGATACCAGTCCAATGAAAGCTCAATTGAATGCTTGTTACAAAGATTCAAATAATTTCCAAAAGAAAAGCCTGCCAGCCCTTGAAGGCAACAGCTTTGACATTGACTGTTGTTTAACAGGGACTTTGAAACGAAAAGTCTACCACTCGTCTGAAAGCAGCAGTTTTGAAATTGATTGTTTGCTTGAAGGAACGTTAAAAGGAAAAACCTACTAGCCTAAATCTGGAAAGGATAAAGGAACTTGAAAAGGAAAGCCTACTAGCCCAAATCTGGAAAGGAACATGTTTTCATTGAAAAGGAGCTTTGAAAGGAACTGTTTAAGAGTCCAATGGAAGCAACATTTTTGAAGGGATCGCTGAACGGAAAGTCCACCACTCCTCTGGAAGCAACAAGTTGACTTCGACCTTGTTTTTATAAAGAACTTTGAAAGGAACAGTTTCCCAGTCCAGAACTGGAAGCAAAAGCGGTGTGTTTGTATGTGTGTGTGCGCGTGTGTGCAGTGCTGAACGTGCACGAGCACCAAGCAAGACCAAACAAACCAAAACAACACAAAACAACCCCAACCTCCATCGACCCCCCCAAACCAAACGAAAAATGAAGAAGGTTCAAACAAGACAAACAGAAACAAACTGGCTGAGCCAAAAAAACAAGTGCCAAGTTGGGGACCATGGAGTTGGCTGTCTCCACATCGCTGCGCCGGCCCGTGGGGCAGGAATCATCCATAAGCGCCACCAAGGGCCTCACTGTGGAGTGCGTTTGTGTTTTTTTGAGGGTACCCTTTTTTGGGGCGGTTTCAAGGGTAGCCAAAAAGAAAACCACCCATTGTTGCGTGAATCTTTGGTGACCATCAAAATTCGGCGGGGATTTACGCCCACAAACCACTCAGGGTCCGACTCCAAATGACTGATGCTGAGATCCATGAATGGCGGAGGCTCCAGGACACTTCTAAAGGCCGCGATTCCAAACCCTTGAGTGGTATTCAACAACCTTGGCGTGTGGCGGCGATCCAACTTCGCTTCGATGCGCGTCCGCGTAGCGCTGTGCACACACGCTTGCCAAAACGTAGGCACCTCCGCTCCTGTGCGGCCAGAGTAGCACTGCACAGACGCGTGCCAAATCACAAACACACCAGCTCAGTTCCGCCCACGTAGCGCTGCACACGTTCTTCTCAACTGATAAGCACACCCAAGTGCGTCCGCGCAGCGCTAAACAAGCACGCTTGCCAAATCATAAGCCCACCCGGGCCCACCCGCTCAAGCGGGCCCGCGTAGCGCTGCACACACACACACACACACACACACACACACACACACACACACACACACGCTTGCACGCCCGCTCAAGTGCGCCCACAAAGCACTGCACACATCCCTCGGAAATCATAAGCACACCCGCTCAAGTGTGTCCGCGTAGCACTGCAAACGCACACACACACACACACACTTGCCAAAACATACGCACGCCTGCTCAAGAGCGCCCACGTAGCACTTCGCACATCCCTCGCAAATCATAAGCACACCCGCTCAAGTGCGTCCGCGTAGCGCTGCACACATGCCTCCCAAATGATAAGCTTTCACGGCCGAGCGGCCCGTTGATGATGCCATCGGAGATGCCCTGCAGCCCCAGCGAAGCGCAGAGCATGGCAAAGGGCAGCGAAGCCTTCGCGGTCGAAGAATTCGGCGGAAATCAAATGAGGCGAGCGGGTCAAACCAAACAAAATGACTGGTTGCAAAAAATGGAAACTGTCCGCTGTGCAGTGCGTGTCTCAGGTCCCTGTTCGTTTTCACAGGCAAAGATTGCCACTTTTCACTGCTTCGCCTATCTGAGCCGCGCGCCGCGCAACTTGTGCGCGGAGGCAAAGTTGGGGAACGTGCTTGCCTTGTGAAGAGTTAGAGGCGGTGCTTCTTCATTCTGTTCAACCAGTTTTCTCAAACCATTCAAGCACAATCCCTGCAAACAATGAAGACCCATCCTCGGAAATAGAAAACAAGGCAATCATGACGCGTGTTCGCTGTCAAAATTGCCTTATGCCGCAAAGCCGAGAAATATAGCGCATCTCCATTGTCAGCAAATACATTGGGAACAGCCGAACAGCCTGAGTCGCAAGAACGAAACTTCTCCGTCCACTGCGACTCAAGGGCATGCACGAGCGAGCTTTGCAACTGCAGAGCTTGCCTTCACGTTAACGGTCAGCAACTACGCAACTATCAGACAGGTCGAGGATTGGGATGCATGCCATGCATGCTACGGTGAAATCCTGAAAGCGATACTTCTGTCCTATAGACTAGGGTGGTCCTGTGAAACCCCCGCTATAGGCTATGGACTGGACAGGTGATCGTCTTTCAGTCCAAACGTGCAAAGCGCACAGGTTCACCGGCTCATGGCAAGACTCGCTGGGCTAGCTTCCCTTTTTTTGGAACGGGAGGGAACGGATCAATGCCGACCATCAAGTGGCCTTGCATTTGCCGAGACACTGACTATGCACGCCTCAAATCTGGGGGTGGGCATTCTGGAACGTTGCCCTCAGGGTCGACATGGCTTTCTTTTTGGAGAGTGCTTGGTTTGGCCACTGGTTGCAGGATTCTGCCATTCATAGCTCTCTGCTGGGCCATCTGCCTGATCCCCTTCAAACTGGGTGGCTCCAGATTCAGTGCACGCCATAGGTCGCGACCGTCCATGGCAAAGGCACTTTGCGTACCGGTGCTGGACCCAAAATGTCGAGGCCACTTCGCTTAGCTGTGCTGGAGCCGACAACTGCGCGCGAATGCAGCTGCCCGTGACGTTCTGAAAATGCCAGCTGGTCACACTCAAGCCCGCAAACACAGATAGGACGTCTAACCCAAAACATATTGGCATACGCTAACACGTGCTGCTTCTCTGCTGCAGAGTGTTCTTGTATTTGAGTTCATGTGAGTCAGAGTCAAACTGTCTGGGGTGTATTCAATCGACGGTGGGACTTCTCGTATCGTCTTAGTGTTGTAGGCAAACAGAATTGAATGGACGCTCCATATGGTTTTAAAGCTTTTGGCATACTGATAGCGCCCGAAAGCACGTGACGCCCAACCGCCGACACAGCACTGCCAAGGCACCTCAATGCTTCAAACAAAATGGAATACATAGATGCCCCTTGCTTGCTAAACCAGTTCGTTCCGGAAGCAGCACCAGCGCAAGAGGAGCAGCAACTGAAGGAGGAGGAGCAGCAGCAGCAGCAGCAGCAGCAGCAGCAGCAGCAGCAGCAGCAGCAGCAGCAGCAGCAGCAGCAAGCAGCAGCAGCACCCCACCACCACCACCAGCACACGCAGCAGAACTGCAACAGCAGAACAAGAACAGCAGAACAGCGGCAGCAGTAGATCAATGTGACCGGCTCCTGAAACAGATCTGCTTCGGTGCCGAAAGGGGATAACCCTTAAAGGGCCCCAAGCCCGCAGTCAATGCGTCAAGCACGCCCTTGACAAAAGCCTTTAGCCCTGGTTGAACGGTCAAATGGTGAGGCCATGGTTAGGCACCGACAAACCGTCAAAGGGCAATCTTGTTGCTCATCGACTCTAAGCCGGGCACCGGCCACGCGCTTTGTCCTGTCATGTCTTAGTTGGGCTCCATATTGGTCATGAATACGATGAAAATCATTGGGCGGGTTATAAACATCTGATGTGGCACCTTTCTTGGCCCAACCGCCCCAATTACAGCAAGGGAAACAGTGTAATCTATTTGGCAGGACTAAGGATTGACCCTTTCCCCAGTTTCCTGGCCCAACCCCAGGCAGGATACTCCGAACATATGTTAAGTTGTTCAGTTTTCTCTGTTCCATAGTCGACCTTGAGACAAGAATCTCGGGGGTCTTACACTAGGGTTGTTTGGTGAGTTTGAACTGCGCATCAGGCGGGGATTGAGGGGGTCCCCTATTTAAAAAGTCAAAGCCATTTGGGGTGTTCCCAAGGTTTCCCTGGAGTTTCCCTGAGAGGGGGGGGGGTTGGAGTGAGTTCAAACCCTTGACAATGGTTTCCCATGGGGCAAAAGGACTCTCCCTGTGTTTGGCGGTTGATTTTAGAGGACAACCCTTTTGTTAGTTTGATCCACATAGAACATGGTGTTGCGAGAGGGTTTGAGAGAACCGCTGTGTGCGTGGTTGATGTCAACAGAGAAACGGGGCGGTCAATCCACTCAAATTTATAAAAGTAGCTCCAGTCAAATTTGTGAAGCCAGTTCTGCTCAAAAATGCGCCAGGTCCAAACAATGATTTTGTGAAACTGGTTCCGCTCAAACAAGCGCCGGGTCCAGAAAAAGTGAGAAAATCCGGGACCCGTGGAACAAGGTCAAGACGTTGAGAAACCCTCAGATGACCGAACCCTGAACAGAGTCCCAAACCTCTGGTAGCTGACGACAGAGAAGGTTCCCCCTCAAGCAAAAATGGGAATCTCCACAAGTTGGTAGGTGGTTTATTTCACTACTCATCGGGCTTCATCAATGCCAACAGTGTGAAGTGGGCGGTATGTTTCGGTTAATACAGCATAACCAGCATAAGCGGATAATTAACATTTTCGTGGTGTTCCTACATTCTTGACTTAGTTTGCTTTGTAAAGTACCCTGCAAACCCACTTAGACCCGGGTGTTACTTCTTGTGATAACGCCTTAAAGCGACATGAGGAGTTCTCAAAATTATATAATTGCGGCGGGAAACCCCTTTGAACCCTCCTTGAACGGGTTTTGAGGATGCCTTACTAAAGCGTACTAAAATTGGCCGGTACCCCCCCCCCCCCCGTTGTACCCGAAGGACCTTATCCACTGCCAGGTCACGTTCGGCTTGGCGAACAGCACGGCCACAATGATGCAGGAGGCGCTGAGTAGCGTGAAGCAGCATCCAATCCTATCGAATGGATGTGAATGTTAATTGGTTGGACCCTTTTGTGGGCATCAGACACTGTGGTGGGATTCATGTTCCACCAACCACTGTTGAGGGGTTCCCCATGAAATGTCACTGCCATTTGAGCAGTACCAAAACACACTGACATTTGGTTGTCCATTTAGACAACTAATTGACGGTTGGAACCATTTTACCCATGTTGGCCTCAAAAGTGCGAAATGGCCATTCAAGTGGTGCCCAAATGACAAATAAATGAAATCCGTGGCCATTTGAATGCCATATTTGCTGGGATGGGACGATTGCGCCACGGGCCCCCGCCTGATGCAGGCTTTGCGGGACCACTTGTCGGCCACGTAGCCAGCCGGCAGGGCGCTGATCAGATTCGTCATGCCCTGCAGGCCTTCTGCGAAGCCCACGTCGAAGTTGTTGCCGCCCACCAGCAGGATGAAAGAGGGCAACACGGTCATCTGCCAAAAAGATCCGCCCCCCTCTTGGTGGACACGTAGAGTCAAAGTTTGCTTTGGGGTGGTCGTTCAGCGGGGGTTGTATTCATCACCTAAGCATGGCCGCAACCCATTGACTTTTGGCTCTACCAGCATGCGTATCCAGTTGTCTGGTTGGAATTGGTTTCCGGGCGCTGCTCAACTTGTTTCATCAAATCAGCCTGGTAGAGCCCGGTGCCCATGCTATAGAGACACGTCACCAGCATCCCGCATTTCACGTTGTGGGTCCATGGCGACACCCCCACAGGGACCTCTCGTCCGACTGCCATTGCTTCGCGCGATCAGAAGGTGTCAACTGATGCAAGGGTCGTGCAAAAATGCAATCCAAAACAAGCCTCTGGGTAAAAAGTCCGACAGATCCCGTTAAAGGATCCAAGCAGGAGTCTACCGTAATACTCTTGTTTTTCCAAGGGATGATTTCTTCAAAAGAGATGTTCCCGAGTACCACAGAAGTTCCTGGAATTAACATTAAACTCTCATGACTCTTTGTTGACACTATGGGAGCTCTCAGGATACCTCACTCATTCTTGGCCGAATGACAAATGACAAGGGGCTACGTGCGACAAGTTGATTTGGGTACCAACTGCGGGCCCTCCTGACTATTGACTGGCTGGGATCAAATGCTGCGCTTGACTTCGCCATAAAGCTTGGTCCTCTGGCGCGTAGACATATGCCAAACATTCAAAGCTACCTGGCATGTCTGGAACACGCCTTCCCGAAAGTTTACATAAACATGGTAGGTCTCAAAACATGCCTCCCCTCCATCTACACCTTGGGCGGACGTTGAAAGGATACCAAAGGAAAACACAAGGGCCGTCCTGAAACTGGGAGCCCCTTCCAAATATTTCAATTGACATGCATACCAACAATCTGTAGGGGTGAGACACTCGAGTCAGTGAGAGGCTGGGAATCCGCCTTGTACCTGACGCGCTCGCCGTCGACCGCCTCAAACGGTGGGTCATGGTCATGGTTACAGAGTTCCGCACCTTGCGTTCACGAAGTGGTCATGGTCCCCCTACGCCTTGGTCGTGGTGGTGAAGTTGCTACTTTGACAGCCAACCCTATTGATCCCAAACAAAATTCAATATGGGTGTGAGATTCGATTGGTTGGAGCTTTGGGTGGACATCATGAGTATATTCCGACCATTGAATAGAGGGTGTTCCAACCATCGAGCATCTGTAGCCATGTCGTATTGACAAACCTGTTTTTCCCCAACAGCAACAGCTATAAATTCAATCCGCCAATCCTGCTGTGCATGGATAAAAGCCACTTCGCGCCAGTTGGAGGGACGAAACCCCAGGAAAACCTACCAACTAGTGCAGATTGTTTTGGGCCATCCGCAGCTTTGGGGCGGGGCACTGGCCCAATGGGGCTTTGGGCCCCGGCCCAGCGGAACTCTCGGCCCTCCCCGCAGGTCCACAAGACGATGTCCGCCCCATCCTGCGAATCCGGCTTCGAATGGGACAAATCGGGACAAATCCGTTGCCTGTGGCTTGCAAAATCCGTTGCCTGCAAATCCGTGAGGCAAAAGTCCCTTGCCCAACCAGCACCCAAAAAACATCCGGTGCGAAACAAGACATTGACTGGTTTGTTTCGCCATTAAAAAATTGAGCAAACCAGCAACACGAAACAATGGTTGCTCAGAAGTTGAAAAATCCGTCGAGACGCCGGTGATTAGGCAAGGCGTCCATGTTAAGAAGCCCACAAAAACCCCAGCTCAACTCAGAAGAAAGAAACTCATGGCCCATGGCAAGGAAGAGGAGGGAGACAGGGGAAAAAACGGAGGGGAGGGGAGGGGAGGGGAGGGGAGGGGAGGGGAGGGGAGGGGAGGGGAGGGGAGGGGAAGGGAGGGGAGGGGAGGGGCCCTTCCCAGAAAAGCATCGTGTTGCTTGGAGTGCAAGCGTGCACTGGGGCTGGTTGCTAAAAATGCCGATCTCTTTTGAAACTCCGGTGTAATTTCGTGCTGCCGCTACAGTGGGGCGCGTACAAGTCTTACACGCCATGTTGCGACCATGTCCTGTCAGCATATATAGGTATTTCTCAACTCGGGGAACCATTTGCAGTCAGTGGGTTCTTGAGGGACCCTAAGGTTCGGGGTTCCGAGTCCCACAAATCCAGAAGAGGTGTCCCATCAAACCCACCAAAAGGGGAGCGTCAAGTTCCAGGGGTATTGTCTAAGCGGACCAACGACAAGCAACGGGCGGGGGAAAGACTTCGGCCCATCCCTCATTTGAGCATGTTTAAACAGCAATTGTCCAAGTTAGAAGCTGGTTGGTACGAAAGACACCAAAAGGGAGCTTCCCTTTTGGCCTTTGGGCTCTGGTTGAGTAGCTCGGAGCGTGAGATGTGGAACGGAAATCGAGGCTCGGAACCCGAAATCTCTGGCGCCTGGTGCTTGCCCTCCCGGACCGACATGCAGTACTCGCTATTCCCCTGGTCCAGCCTCGGCTCAGCATGTTTGTCTTGTGTACCATTTGTGCTTATGTTTTGGAGGAGTAGTTTCCCTTTGGGGGCTTCAAGGGAAAAACGGAAAACCAACCATTTCGCGGGTCCAGTCAGGCCCATGTTTCCTTGACCCATCCGCCAAACCCCCAGAAAAAGGTGCACTGCTCTGACCAGATTTCTCGGTACTTGATTTTACAGGGAAACCCCCAGCAAAAAGGGTAACAAGGGTCTTGTCGGGTAAATACCTCTATGCGAAACACAGTTGTGACCCTTTCTTGACCACACGAGGAGCCCCCGGTGAAGTGCTGTCCGACTAAGCCGTCGATCAACCAGCCGAAGGCACCCGCGAAACTGAGGCCCCTGCTTCAAACCCGGATGAAACCCGCACAGCGTTTGGTACGTGTTCTTATCTCAGGACATTCCGAAACAGGTGCCCTCCCAATATCATGTCTTCTTCCTTACCTTGAATGCTGCCGACATTCACTGATCCTAGTGGCGGTGGACTGCAAAAGCCTACCTTCAGGGTACGTGGTCATGTTGAGTCTCCAGGCACACCACAACTACTTTTTGGACCCATAGCCCATGGCTTGTTTGACGTGGGCGTGTCATTGTTGAGGCTCTGTACCCTTTTTTGGGGGGGTGGGTGTCAAACGGGACCAAAGGTGAACCCAGAATTTGCTGAGTGCAGGGCACAATGTGGTCTGAAGACACTGACCACTGGAACTCATCCTCGCAGCTGGAAGCCATACACAGGTCAAAATGGGAAAAAATGACCCCTGCCACTGCCAAGAAAAACTCACTATGCATTGGCCAAAAGGGTGATGTGGCTATGGATTTGAAATCGGGCACCCCCTCAGAAATGGTTGGTGGACATAAACCCCCGCAAAACAATGATGTCCACCAAAGGGGTCTCCAGTTAAAATCAACAACCATGCCTGCGGCCTGCAGCCACCAAAAACGGAAACCTGGGGATCCCTGATACACTGAGACCAAGAAGGTAGGGCGCCGGCGGTCAGACCGCAGGTCCACAGGATGATATCTGCGCCTGAGGCTTGCAGCACCATGTGTCCAAATAGGAGGGGACCCAAGAAAGTCATTGGTTTCCAGTTGGTGTCTCTTTGAACCATGGTGCAAATGGCACGCTCAAGAAAACATATATATATATATATGTATATGCTACCCCCCCCCCCCAAGGGACCTACCTTTTTGTTGCCTCTCCAGTGCATGATTTGCCCATCTTGGAAGGAAGGGTCTCTCAACATGACTAGGACCAAATAGGACTAGAAGCAAGGATCTCTCAACTAAGACTAGGACCAAACTAGGACTAGACCATTTCACTCGAACTACTATAGCTTTTGAATGTCAAGTATAATGTTCTATCGGAAAGACAATCATAGCCAATATTTGAATTCCAATTTAAGACAGGAATTCTGACTGGAGTATGTCCATATTTGAAATTCTATTTAATGTCAGTTAGAAGTTACGTACAACGTACAACTTAATAAATATATTAAGCAGAATTCACGAGGAACTTCCTTTGTCATATCCTTTCTAGTTTCCAATTATTTCAGTAAACTAGGACCACCTAGACTAGGACTAGAACCAAGGGTCTCTCAACTTGGACGAGGACCAAACTAGGACTAGACGATTTAATTCTAAATCTTATTGAATTTCAGGTATAACATTATGTTGGACAGAAAGTCCTGTGTACAATTTGAATTGAGATAGAATAGTAGTCAATATTTGAACTCCAATTTAAGATAGAAATTGTGACTGGAGTATGCCTTTTTTTTTGCAATTCTATTGATTTCAATTAGAAAGTACGTAGAACTTGATAGCTATATTAAGCATAACTAATAAGGAAAGAATCCAGAGGTCTCAAATTGTTGAATAATGTGAGTTTAAATGGTTTCTGATGAGTGAAGACAATTCCATTGGAAAGGATATCTTGTGTAACATTTAAGCTGAAATATAATGATCATTATTTAAAGTCTACGTTGAAATTGGAAACTTAAATTTGGAGTTTAGATAGAATTCCTTTCCCAATAGAGCTTTACAATTCAACCGGAGTATAAACATAATTTGATGAGAACATAATCCAAGCCTGTACTTAAAATCAGGGTTCAAGATTCCCTAGAAAAGTTTTCTCTGCAAACTCGAGTCCAGGCCCCGTCTGAAACCGACTGAAACTTCAGTCGAGCCTGGATGCAAGATTCAAAATTCAAGAGCAACTAAAAAAGTTTGGCCTCAGTCTAGCACTAGATTTGAACAGATTGAACAAGATCCAAGATTCGAGATTCCCTGGAAAACGTGTGGCGTGTAATCTTGAATCTGGGCCTAGATTGAAAAAAATTGAAAGAGATTGACATTTAAGTCTGGGCCTGGATCCAATATTCTCTGGAAAAGTGTGGCCTGGGATCTTGAATCGTGAATCTGGGCCTAGAAATATTCATTTAAAAAATGAATAAAGGAGATTGACATTTCAATCTGGGCCTCGATCGAAGCCGCTTGACATTTGAATCGTGCCTAAACTTCCAGAATACCCTTGGAAATGCACTTTTTTACTGCTTTCCCGAAAGCCCAAGAAAGGCAGAAAAAACCGCAAATACCAGTGAATTATTCAATAAGGTAGGTTGTTGGGGGGGTTGGTGGGGCACCATATATATATATATATATATATGTGTGTCTAGTATATAGTATATAATGTGCGTTTGCCTCGAAATAGGGCAACCACCTGGTGCTGTCCTTTTGGTTTCCCTCCAAACCACCCCGGGAGAGCCTCAAAAAGATAGGCCCATATGCGCGTCTCATGTCTCAGTCAAC